GGCTTCAAGTGCCCACAGAGCAGCAGCTGCAAAAGGGGCGGCAAGTGGTTCCAGGGAGAGACAGTGGAGGCGGCCAGGAACAAGCTGGTGAACCACCTTCGCGTGTCGCCGTACCACGACTTGAGCGAGGACGAAGCGGAGGTAGCTGCTGTCGCACTCGAGCCCGACTCGTGGGAAGTCGACCTCGCGGAGTGGCGCCAATGGGAGGAGGAGAAGGCCAACTGGGGCTCCGCCAAAAGGCGCAAGGGGGCGCCGAAGGTCGAGCTGGCGCCAATCCCTCCACAATCCCGCGTGGAACGCTCGCACCAGCTGAAGGACGCGTTCTCGGAGGGCAGCGGATCGTCAGGCGCAGCTTCGTCAGCCACGGCGGGCATGAGGATGTCCACGGCGTTGGCCAGCCAGATGTCGCCCGATAGCATCGTGGTGCTCAACGGCACCCAGTGCCAGGCTGTGCTCGACTCGTTGCGCCGCGCGCGCACTGCGACGCAGATGTGCGCCCAGATAGCGGAGCGCGCGGTGAACGCTTTCCGCCAAGAGGAGCAATGCATCGCCGAGTGCGAGGACGTGCTCGCGAGCTGGCTGGTGCGCAACGCGACCTCGTAGGTGCAGGTGCACGGCTGGCAGCACTGATGTCGCCTCAGCATCAGTAGCATCATTCGCGCAGGCGGCGCGACGCGTCGGCCCTACACGCCCCCCTCCCACTCCTCCAACGCAATTTCAATCCACACCCCTGTGTCAGAACAAATTAGGACACCCCCACACACTCCATCCGCACTCAATTCGTGAAGGCCGCCACGCCGAGGTGAATTTTGGCCACGCAGGCGGCCGAGTAGCCGCCCCCCAATGCAAGGCGATATGGGGGGCGAGTGGACGAGCGGAGCGGGAGGAAGGTGAGGGAACTTCGGCGGATAAGACAGGTGGGCGGTTGGATGGGATTTGGCAAAAGGGCTGGGTGGAGAAAACTGCATCCGCATAAGAATGAGTGCGGCTATTTTCTGGATGTGCTGCATCGCCATGTCCGCCCACCCCCCCATCGCCTTGCATATGATGACGCTCATGCAGCGCGCCCCGATTGCGCGCGCTCGCCCGTCTCTTCGCTGCCGCTCAGGCAGCGCGCCTCGCTTCCGCGCTCGCCCGTCTTTTCGCTGCCGCTCAGGCAGCGGTTTGAAGCACGCGGCGCCGTCCGCGGTCGGTAGCGCAGGGCGCCGCTCCGCCCCTGCTGCTCCGCTAAACTAACTCGGCGGACGTGCCGCTACGCCGCCGCCATGCACTGGCAAAAAAACGTTGGCTGTTATCATATGTTAGCATATGTTATCACGCGCCTGACAACACCTGATAACACCTGATAACACCTGATAACATGTTATCAGGTGTTATCATGTGTTAGCATGGTGTTATCACACGCCTGATAACATATGATAACATATGATAACATGATGTCAATTTTGTGTGGTTGTCATGTTGCGCGCAAATCATTTCAGTATCCGTATCACCTCGTGCGTCCGCCACGCTTCGAGCGGCTAGTCCGCTGGCGGCCAATCCGCCTCCCTCGCCGCGCCCCTGCACCCTCTCAAGCGGCGAGTCCGCTGGCGGATATGCCGCCCCCTTCATACCTCACTCCACCCCTCCCTCCACCTTTGAAGCGGCTATTCCGCTGGCGGCTATCCCGCCTCACTTACCGCGCGTTTTCTTCGTCATCGCTTCGCGTCCAGCTCATCTTGGAATCAGGGCCGCGCGCGACGCGCGGCTTCTCGCGTGCCAAGGCGGTCACGCCGCCATGGCGGGGACGCCGCCCGCTGAAGATCACCAGCAGCATTCTCTGGCAGTGATGTTCGGAGCAGCCAGGCCGAACAACAAGGGAGTGATGACCAAGGCGCCCGCAGCGAAGCCCCGTGGGAAAGCTAAGCTATCGGGGACGCAGATGACACTGACTGGACAGCTTGTGCCGCCGCTCGCATTGACCGACGCAGGGCCGCCGAAGGCACGCGGGAAAAGCAAAGGCAAGGGCAAAGGTAAGCACCCCGCTGCGTTGAGGACGGCTCGCAAAGCTGCGTCAGCCGCAGCTCCCGCCGAAGAACTGCCTCCTCAGGGCGCAGCGGCTTTGCCACCAGAGCCGGACGACGCAGCGTCAGAGGCGGCATCGGGCTCCGAGGAGCGCGGCGACGAGATTGGTTCCGAGCTCGGCGTCAAACAGGATGAGCTTGAGAGTGCCAAGCGTGAGCTTAAGGAGGAAGAGGCTCCACCGCAGGGCGCGGTAGCCAAGGTTGAGAATGAGGAGCGCTCGCCCGAGGCGGCAGCGCCGCAGGCGGAGGAGGAGGAGGCAGCTCAGGACGATCCGCCAGCAGGCGCTCCCAGGTAGGGGAGTTCGTGGATGTGCATGGCATCGGGCATAGCATCGTGCGTTGCAACCGCTGCTGTCGCACGGCAAAGGAGTGCAACTACAGGATCAGGGCGAAGGGCCAGTCGACTTACCAGTGCGACGCGTGCAACACGAACGGGGTGCGCCTTTCTCGGAGGTTCGGACAGTGGCCGCCAAAGTGTTTCGCCAAACTGAAGAGTGAGTTCAAGCAGCAGTTCTACAAGGATCTGGCAGAAGATCCTGGGCTGTCGAACCTCGATCGCATTGAAGCCTTCGTGGTCAGCTCAATCACTGTCCAACGGATGGAGGAGGAGCGCGTCCGCAAGGGTGGCAAGCACCTTCCGCTGAGGAAGTGGGCGCACGACGGCTTCGACGCGAAAAAGATTGAAGATAATGTGCAGGATAAGAGGTGGAACCCTGATCTCGGGGAGTGACGTACAGGCCGCAATTGGAGGCGGCCTGGAGCGAGACAGTGGAGGCCGCAGTGCGCAACGAGCTGTACACCGATAAGAGGACGCAGGCGAAGCAGAGCGGCCCGCGGGCAGCGGCCTCGACGGGCGTCGCAGAGCACGGCGGCGACAAGGGCGAAAGAAGCGACGAGAGCGACATGTCCAGATCCAGGCGGCGCCGCAGGCGCAGGTCTGACAGCCGCAGGAGGAGGAGGCGCAGCATGAGCAGGCGCGACAGCAGGGGCAGGCTCGACAGCAGGAGCAGACGCCGCGACAGACGTCGCGACACCAACCGCAGCAGGAGCCGCTCGCGCGGCGACCGCGACATGAGCAAGAGCCGCCGCAAGGGCAGGAGCAAGAGCCGCGGCAAGAGCAAGGACAGGAGCAAGAGCAGGCCGTTTGGGGGTTCAACGCAGGGGTGTCGCCTGGGCTTCGCATTCGTTTTCGGTTTCCGTTCAACTCCTCAGGTTCGGATCGGGTTATTGATTTCGCTCGGCTCGAAGTGTTGTCATTTTCGGACAACCCCGAAGGCTCCGCAGGGATAAGGACGCTGAGAAGGAGCGGAGGCGACAGGAAGCGAGGGAGAAGGCCGAGCAGGCCAAGAAGGATACGCAGGAGAAAAACCTGGCGCTGAAGTGGATCGGCACCGCAACGAGGCTCGAGACAGAGCTGGACGGGTACCTCGAGCATGGGAAGGCGGACAAGGTGCCGTCATGGGCTGTGAAGAACGCGAAGGCGGCGAGGAAGTCTGTGGCAGTCATGAAGGCGGTGGCGCAGAAGCGCGTGCACAGCGGCGTGGCGTTGACGATCACGCAGGACGAGGCCATCAGCATCCAGAAGGATGCGAGCTCGGCGGCGAGGGCCATCGCGGGGATGCTCAAGGAGGCGCAGAAGCACAGCACCTGAGCGCCCCATGGTGGCCAGTACATCATGAAGTACGGCCTGAAAAAGGTGGAGAAGGACCCGAATAAGCCGCGGCCGCTGGGCCGCTCGTGAGCAGGGGCGGCAGTTGGGCCGCTCCTGACGAGGTGTGTGATTTCGTACAATTGTTATTGTTGGTGAAACAACATTTCCACCGCCACCCCACTCGTTCCCACCGCAGCCCTTCGTTTGGCGGGGATGCCGCCTTTCCACTCTCGCAAGCCCTTGGCGGACATGCCGCCTTGCCTTCATTTGGCGGAGATGCCGCCTTTGCTGCTCATCGCGCTCCGATGCCTCACTTGGCGAGGCGAAGCGCTTGCCTAACTCCCTCCTGCTCGAGCGCGTCCTGCCCGAGACCCTACCGCGCGAGCTGTGGCTCGCGAAGGCCAGCGACACCGTTGGGAATCCAATCGATTGGCGGTCGGAGACGAAGCAGAGGCGAAGCAGCTCCTTGGCAGGGGCGGCAGTTGGGCCGCTCATGACGAGGTGTGTGATTTCGTACAATTGTTATTATTGTTGAAAAAAAAAAAAAAACATTTCTTCGTTGCCATCGCCACCCCACTCGTTACCACCGCAGCCCTTCGTTTGGCGGGGATGCCGCCTTTCCACTCTCGCAAACCCTTGGCGGACATGCCGCCTTGCCTTCATTTGGCGGAGATGCCGCCTTTGCTGCTCATCGCGCTCCGATGCCTCACTTGGCGAGGCGAAGCGCTTGCATAACTCCCTCCTGCTCGAGCGCGTCCTGCCCGAGACCCTACCGCGCGAGCTGTGACTCGCGAAGGCCAGCGACACCGTTGGGAATCCCATCGATTGGCGGTCGGAGACGAAGCAGAGGCGAAGCAGCTCCTTGGCAGGGGCGGCAGTTGGGCCGCTCATGACGAGGTGTGTGATTTCGTACAATTGTTATTGTTGTTGAAAAAAAAAAAAAAAAAAAAAAAAACATTTCTTCGTTGCCATCGCCACCCCACTCGTTGCCACCGCGGCCCTTCGTTTGGCGGGGATGCCGCCTTTCCACTCTCGCAAGCCCTTGGCGGACATGCCGCCTTGCCTTCATTTGGCGGAGATGCCGCCTTTGCTGCCCACCGCGCTCGCACCGTTCTCTCGCGTTTCCCAATGACATGATCTGCCACCGTCCCACCCCTCATCCGTAGTCTTTGTGGCTCAAGTGTAGCCGCTCGAGGTCGTGCCCCTTCGCGGTCTTGCGCCGCCATGGCGAGCATCGCGGACAAGTACGACGTCGATGACTTCGAGCTCATCACGGGTGGCAGTGCGTGGAGCTGGGCGACCATCGTGGCGCGCTTCATCGAGTGGCGCAATCGTTGCCGCCATGCGCGCGCCGTTGGCATCAAGGGCCAGATGCTCATCGACAAGGCGCGGCGCATGATGGAGGAGGCGCGCCGCACCGAGGAGCGCGGCAAGATGCTGTGCCAGATGTCGAAGCAGACGGTGCAGGACATCCCAGGCGGCATTCGGTTCTTCTGCCGCCAGCCGCACCAGGAGAGCTGAGCGGCGACCGGCTGGGCCGATAGAGGAGGATAAGGAGGAAGAGGAGGCAGGATGAGGAGAGGAGGAGGAGGTGGATGAGGAGTTGGAGGCAGCACGCGCACCCACACTAAGAGCCGCCAGCCGCCGCCGCGCCCGTCCCGCGCTGCGCCCGCCCCGAGCTCGAGCCGCCAGCCGCGCCCGTCTCCGAGCGCTGGCGGCTTGGAACCCGAGCTTGAAACTCAAGCTCGAAATTGCGTGCGAGAAAAAGAAATCTCCCTTGCAAGTTCCGTTGCTACGCTCACTTCGCGCCTCCGCAATCTCCCCCACCCACCCCCCTCCCCCCTCCCCCCTCCCCCATGCCCCCTCGCCCCCACGCTCTTCGGCGGCTACGCCGCCCCTCCCGACCCTTCAGGCGGCTACACCGCCATGCCCTTCGGCGGCTACTCCGCCCCGCGATCCATTCCCGCCTCCACTTCCGTCTCTCTGGCTGCAATTCGTTTTTTCTCAACCGCGCTGGGCCTCGCGCTGCCCCCCGCCCCCGCCCCTCCCGCGCGCGGGCGTCGGCGCAATTGGGAAACGCGCCCTGCAGGTGGACAAGCAGGTGGAGCAGCGGGCTCGACTGCAACAGTGTCTGGCCCTGCGCGGCGTGTCCGCGGCTTTGCTCGAGCGAAACGTGACTGCGCTTGGCCATGGCGACGACGCGGGCGATGCTATAGACGTGAGCGCTCGGGCCATGCAGCGATCGCAGACGGCATCCGTGGCCGATCTCATCAGCGCAGTGCGGCTGCAGCCCAAGATCGGCACGCCTTTCCGATGGAGCGTGGCGCTGCCGCATCGGCTGATGCCGAGGCTCCTGTCGGACTGCCCTCTCTGGAGTTCAATGTTTTGGGAAGCGATGCGCCGTTTCCCTGAGTCGCGCGATCGGCCGTGGAGGCTTTTGCTGTACTACGACGACATTGGCGTGGGCAACGCCTTGAAGCTAGATAATCGTCGGAATCAGCTCGCGGTGTATGCGAGTTTCCTCGAGTTCGGATCCTTCTTGCAGAAGGAGGTTGCGTGGCTGCCGATCGGCACCTTGCGCGTCGTCGTGAAGAAGAGCATCGGCGGCTCGGCCGTGGCGCGGGCATTGCTTCGCGCGCTGTTCCTGGGCCCAGAGAGTCTGTCGGAGCACGGTGCGCCAATCGGCGGCGTGCACTTTTTCGCCAAGTTCCACCGCTTGATTGCAGACGAGGCGGCTGGAAAAGAGACATTCTGCACCAAGGGCGCTGCAGGTCTGAGACCGTGCTTGCAATGCAAGAACGTTGTGCTGGATCAGGCGGAATGTCTTGCAGACTACGACGACGATGATTACCTCGTGCCTCTCTGGTGCGCTGACTCGTCGCGCTTTGACCCGCTGTCGTCAGACGAGTTTTTGCAGCAATATGATGATTTGGCGTCGCTGCGGGACACGACAACCAGAGCGAACATCGAGAGACTGGAGCCAGGGAGGAAAACATTTCCATCGATCCCCTTCTGATGTCCCCCCCTTCCTTCCCTTCTGATGTTCCGGCCCCCGAAGGAGACGGCAATGGGCATCACTCTGGATGACCGTTCTCTGGTGGCGTGCCAGGCGTTGCGGACGGTGGCGCCGCCGAGCACATACGTGAGGGACCCCATGCATACCATGCTGGCCAGCGGCGGGACCTTGCAGGTCGAAATCTTTGCGCTCCTCAAGGCGGTGAGGGATGTCATCCCCGACGCGTGGGGAACGTGGCGGGATCGCTGCTCGGCGTGGCGGACTGGCAGACGCGGCAGGAAACCGCCAGCGTTTCTGTTCAGCGTGGCTCGGAAGAAAGCGACCTGCAAGGCGTCGCAATTCGTGGGCAAGGCGTCGGATTGCTTGGCCGTGTTCCCTTTGATTCGTCATTGGGTGCACACAGAGCTGCGTCCCAGCGGCATGGCGAACGCTGCGGCGCGGTCGTTCGAGGCGATGGCGAAGATGCTCGAATTGTACATGCAGGGCAAAATGACATGCGGCCGCAGCTGAAACGCAAACGCTGGCCTGCGCGTTCGAGGATGCACCGCGTCGGCCCGCGCGCATCCTCGAGCGCTTAGGTGGCAGGCGGTTCGGCTACGTCCTGAGGATCGGCGCCGTGCCGAATTTGATAGCTGTCTGGACCAAGGCCGTTTCGATTTCCTTTGCGCTGCACAAAGCCGCGCACGGGCCAGCCCTGATCAAGCCGAAGCATCATTATTTGTTGCACGTCCCCGACCAGCCTGCGGAGGACGGCATCTGGTTGGACGCCTTCGTACTCGAGCGGAAGCACAACCTGCTTCGGTCCAGGTCGCAGGAGATCGACAACCCTGAGAATTTCGAGCGGTCGGCCTTGACTGCGATGCTCGCCTGCTTCCTGGAGGAAGCGAAGGAGGCGCCGCGCTCCCGCGCCAAAGCGTGGCGCACGCCAGAGCTGGACAGTACGTTCGGGCACTCGGGGCGCAACCTTGCATGCCCTTTGTGGAGGAAGATGGGCTGGGAGAGGGGAAGGCGGTTTGCCGCCGAGGCGGCTCGCCGCCAGGAGGAGGAGGAGGAGGAGGAGGAGGAGGGGGAGGAGGAGGAGGAACCCCTCCGCAGGGCTGAAACGTGGACCAGCAGAGAGGCGTCGATCGACGGCCAGATGCACGGCAGCCAGGACAGACGGCGCAACCAACCTTGGTATTTAGGGGTGCACATGCGTGTGCCCCCCCAAAAAATCGAGGCGTTGCTGCCCTCAGGATTTTCTCCTGGGCGACGGCGAGGCGTGCATCGTGCATTGCTGCGCGCAGGCTGGCGCCGCCAGCTACCTGCTGGTGGAGACCCTGGAATGGGTGCGCGCGCCATGCCCAGGCGCGTCCCTGTGGCGGCCGCGCGGCGACGTCGACGTGATGCCCGCCGAGCTGATCCCGCCAGCCTGGGCGGCTTATCGGCGACTACAGGACGATGGCTATGTGCTCGCCATCACGTGAAAAAGGAAAAAACGAGCGCATGCGAGAGCGGATATGCCGCTGGCGGATGCGCCGCCCTTCGATAGAGAGGTGCAGGAGGGAGGGGCGGATATGCCGCCGAAGAAGGAAGGCGGGCTCGGGGAGGGAAGGCGGCAGGAGGGAGCGGGGGCGGGCTGGCCGCCGACAACGAGGAGAGGAGAGGGGAGGCGGTGATGGCCGCCGAGGGGAGGCAGTTTGAAGAATAGTTGATCCCCCCCCCTCTCCCTCTCCCCCCTTCCCCTCCGCGCCCCGCAGGCGTCCTGAGGGCGGCTCGGCGCGTCGACCTGCGGCGCCCTGTCCTGAAAAACTGTTGTGTTGTAGTTGTTAAAACGTTTTTTGTGGTTTTTTCCCGAAACATAGCAATATCAAGAACAAACATGCAAAACATAGAAAGTTATGCAAATTTCGGGTTAACCGAATCGGACAGCCCACATCGACTTAGCTGACTTAGCTACTAAGTTGGGTATGTTGAGGTGTATGTATCGATATATCTTGGCAGT